TTAGTGTGATCTAGAGGGGGGGTTAAAGAGAGACTCTAGTGTGGTTGAGTTACCTAGGCCCAGACGATGCCATGGAGGTGCCATGTGGTCGGGGAAAGCTAGCCAACCCTTCCTTCTTGACGCCTTGGAGGTGCCTTGGGTCGGATTGCATTAACGATTTGGAGGATTGAAACGGTATCGTTTCGGAAATGAGGAGCGACGTTGCATGGCATGACATTGCATTGGTATATATTGTACATTTGGTGGTTAAACGACTTGAGTATGCATTGTTGGTATTATCGTTGTTTTGCTTGTTTTTCCCGAGGCATGACCCCACTTACTTGTACTATATTCCTTATGTGAATTTACAGGATCATAAGAAGTGTGTGTTAGACAATTCCTATTGAGCTTATTATCACGGGCCTAGAGATTTGGCGTAACGGCACGGCCCGTGCGGCACCAAGGCGTTACTTCAGCTAGCGCAAGCGCCCTGATCAGCCACCACGACCTGCCCTCCCATGGATACATGCTTACTGGTTTCGGCCTGCCATGGCCTCATCAGGGGAATGGCTCCAACTCCCGACTAGTTTGTGCAGGGATGGCCAACTCCCTTCTTCATAGTCAAGTCCACGACCAGCAACAAGCTCCTCACACTCAACCAAGTCGACCTGCCTGAACTCTGAAGAGGTACCATCCTGTGCTCCTGCACGCCCCTTTCTTGGAACCATTCCCAGTCAAACTCTGCTCTTTGCCAACCAGCATGCGTGTCTTCCATCCTCCAAGCGTCTTAGGAATCACTTCGTGACATTCTCCCCCACCCAAATCCTGCGACGCCCTCATCGCAATGCGGCGCTTCACTACTGCGTCCACTCCCTTCCAAAGTCTGCCTCCAAGAGGTATGCTCGCCTTCCCACCATCGCTTCCTTGTGCAGCTCCCTGCACTGCACTCGCCCAATGATAGGCCTTGGACCAAGGGGACGTCCACTCCTCAAGGACATGACTCTTCTCCGTCATGCCGCCTCCGCGACATCCCAAGCAAGCAAGGGCCTCCTGCCGACTTGATGCTCGCCCTTCACCACGGTTTGCATCACCCAAGGACTAATCACGAACTTTGGTGCGCGCGGCCCTTCGGCCCTCCAGTGCGCAACTTCAACGGAAGCCTCTTCCTAGGGAAATGGAGGCTCTCCCCCCAATTGCATTGATTCCTCCACATAGACGTAACTTTAATGCACCGTCTTCATCCTCAGACCCCTCCCAGATCGATAAAGGGGCACCCCACCGTGCTTTACCCCAAGTCCTGCTCTGATACCATTTGTCACGGGCCTAGAGATTTGGCGCAGCGGCACGGCCCGTGCGGCACCAAGGCGTTGCTTCAGCTAGCGCAAGCGCCCTGGTCAGCCACCACGACCTGCCCTCCCATGGATACATACTGACTGGTTTCTGCCTGCCATGGCCTCGTTAGGGGAACGGCTCCAGCTCCCGACCAATTTGTTCAGGGATGGCGAACTCCCTTCTTCATAGTCAAGTCCACGACCAGCGACAAACTCCTCGCACTCAACCGAGTCAACCTGCCTGAACTCTGAAGAGATACCATCATGTGCTCCTGCACGCCCCTTCCCTGGAACCATTCCCAGTCAAACTTTGCTTTTTGCCAACCAGCATGCGTGTCTTCCATCCTCCGAGCGTCTTAGGAATCACTTCGTGACATTATGCTCACCCTTTTAATATTTTTTTTCAGGACATGGGAAGGAAGTGGCGGACGACGCTTCTCTACAAGTTTTGATGGGTTAGTGGTTTGTTTTGGCATATTTTGTAGCTATGATTTCAATTTTTTTATTACTATTATTATGTTTTTTATAAGCCTTGGGGCGAGGCGTATGTTATGTATCGACCTTGGAATTGACCGTAGTGCCCTTAGACAACCTTGAGTTCAGGTAAGGACTTGGTTAGCGATTCAGACCCTCGGGTTCAGGTCATTAGAGATAAGGTGTGAGCCAGAGTCAAAGTTCAATGTACTTTGTTTTAAACATAGTGGATCGGTTTACTTTGAATTGCACAGTCCACGAGATTTTTCTCACGCAAACAGTTGACATATTTTATCCTGGTGTTATCTCTAACTTTATGTTTTACTTTATTTTATATGCATGTGATTAATTGTTTAGTTACTAAAATAAGAAAAGTTGGAAAAGACAAAGATCGGTTTTCAAAAATACAAAACTTTCTAAATATTTCGCTGTGTACGACTCATAAATTGGTATCAGATTCAATCTCTACACACTGAGTTGATCCTAGTTAGAAAGTTTTGCGTTGAAAGAAGGTGGTTCTAATCAACTCGGTCTTTTGGACATGAATTGAAAAGGCCCTGATTAGTCTGCTGCTTGGATGCTCTGAAAGTAAGTTTGTATGGGTTAAATGTAGTTTATACAACAAGTGTGATTTGAATAGATTTGCATTCAGATAAAATTATATTAAGTCAGATATTGATTCCTCAGCGCCAGTCATAAGAGAAAATGCTAAGAATAATTGCCATGCAATCTTGTGGATCCAATAATGGGGCTCACAGACTGCGCGACTATGCTTAGCACTCCACACAATAATGAATTCTGTTTTGCACCACATTTCTTGTAACCTCTGCCTGTTGGTAAAACTGTTATTGAAGTTTCTGTATTCTGATAAATATTTCACTAGCGAGGGTCACTATTGAATTGCCAAAATTAGAAGTACTGATAAGAACTTGACCCCAATTGGGTTGACTCTCAACTGATGTGAAGTACAAAAAATATCTAGCAACAATTAATAGCAGAGTTAACCCTTTTTTCATTTTTTATTTTTTCAGTTTTGGCTTCCACATATTTGACACAGAAGCTGCTATCTACTTTCAGATACTTGAAGACCGAGCAGGTATGTGTGGCTCTCATGTGCCGTGATAGGAACGTACTATTTTCTAAACTGAAACTTTCAATTTTCTTACCTACATCATGAACTTTCCTCACGATAAATTCTAGATGAGCATAAAATGATTTCACCATAGACTAGATTATAAATCGAATCATGTAAATCTTTGTTGTGTAATTTTTTATTTTTATTTTTCCTCATCAATTCTTGAGTTAAAGGTACTCAGATTAGTTGAACAGAGAGTTTAAGACAATAGGGAATCATAATTAAAAAATGGTGGGAAAATGATAAACCACATAATGATTTGAGCCCGTAAGGCTTGTAACTTCATTGTCATTTAGATACTTCTTTATATATAAGCTTTTACCCATTTGATTGGTCCTAAAAGGTTCATTGAGATCTTATCCTTTTATTATTAATTGTTACTATTTTCATTCTCGTGAGACAGAATTAAAATATTTGTCACATGGTTTATTATGCCATAAAATCAAATTCTGTGTATCAATTTGAAAAGAGGTTACTTTGTTTTCCATTGCATGAGAAAATGAGCATATTTTCCTCTTGTGCTTCTCCTATGTCCTACAATTTTTAAGGACAAATTGCCGTAAAACTTCCACTCCTTTCAATTTATGGCAAGAAAACATCTGCGGAAAAAAATATATATGTATAAAACCATCTGCGTATCCAATTTGTTGCAAAGGTATGTTAGAATGACGAAAATGCCTTTAATATAATTTTTTTAAAAAAAATGGTTTTCCTTAATATAAATTTAAAATTAATATAAATAACTCATTCTGCATATTGGTGTTAAAATTTTTCCAAACTTTATTTAATGGTGCATCTATAAAAAAAATGAAAATATTTTGGAACAATTTATAAAATTTTCTTAACTTTTTTAGAAAAAATTAAAAAGAAAAGAAAAACCTAAAATGAAAAATATTTTAAGACAACCTAATTTTTCTTAAATTTACATTAAGGGGCATTTTCATATTGATTGGGTAAAATAAGACCTACTTTGACCTAATGATAGAAGTAACCAAGTGTTGACTAGCCGTCAGATCTTTTCAACTTTCGTATGATGACGGGTCTACGATAAGGATGACGACATTCAGTTAATGACGATATTGGAAGTGGTTATTAATCATAAACAGAATCTCTACAACCGTGATTATATTCAACAGTCTCCATTGACAAAACACCATAAATACAAGGGACAATGGAATGAAGTGAGATATACAAAAAAAATCCTATTTCAATTTAATTCTCTCTCTCTAACCCCCACTAAGTTGATTATCGTAGGGTCTACGGTCGGTACCACACCTATGTCTGACTCAGACATCTTTATTTTACAAGAAACGGTGTCGTACCAGGCCGCGGCGAATTTCAACCCCAACACATATTATAACTTAATTTAATGGTGTGTATTTTTTAAAATTTTCTTAAAGTTTTATTTTTTAAAAAAATTAAAAAAGGTTTTTTTATTAAAAAAAAAAAATTACATTAAAAGGTATTTGCATCATTATAACATTCCTTATGTAACAAATTTAATACTTGGGGGTTTATGTCAACTTTTTTTTTTAGGGGTATCTTGCCAAAAATTAAAAATAGAGGGGTTTTATGCAATTTGCCCAATTTTCATTGGCAGTATCTATGGTAAGAATTTATAATTTTAAAAAAATAATAAAATAAAAAAAAATACTGAGCAAAACCTCTTCAAAGATAGAGTATAGATCATACATTCTTCTTCATGCCGCTTTAGATGCTTGAGAAAATGACCACATCCTCTATATTGTTAATTTTTTTATTTATCTATTTATTTTTTTTATTATTATTCCTTTCTTTTCTTTTTTTCATGCATCTCATATGGACTTCTACTAGTTTTTTTGTTATCAACTAGAATCATTAATTAAGTTTATTTTTCGTGAACTGCTATGGGATCTATCACATGGTCTCTAGACTTTAATATTTTTTTCCCATCAGAATGAAACATATATTAAAATCAAATAGCTGTCATTATGTATTTGTCTTGTGAGCCTATATATATATTTCTGTTTCTGTAATTATAAAATGCAAGTTGAATGTTAAATATAAAATTGCATTATGTTTAAAATATAATGCAAGTTGGGTACACATGTTATTAACAACTCCAGTTTTAAACCAATCGACACTAATATTATTTTTTAAAAATGGAACACTGAAAATCGAGACAGAGGAGGAGATAGAGGTTGAATAAGTGTACTGGGGTAAGGTTTTGAGAAACTCCTAATTTTTTTAGTTTATTTTTGAGAAACACCTAATTTTTTTAGTTTTTTTTTTTTTTTTCTCCTCTCTTTAGTGAAAGTTTTTATTTTATTTTTATTTTTTTATCTTCATTGTAAACGTAAACTCTACATTTGATTTTTGCTTGATACATAAGATTTCACAGTTCACATGACCAAAACAAGACAACTTGGTCAACTCCAACCATAGCAGATCTGTTCAATTATCATCAATGTTGCAGTACTTCTTCTGTGAGGAGTGTGTGTGATATAAGTATTGTTGAGCTGTGTATGTACCAGAAAAAGAAAGTAGCATGGAGATTTCTGTTGTTTGGATTCTCGGAATCTACTTTGTGCCGGTTTTCTATGGATTTGAAGTTGAAGCAAGAAATCTTCAATCTCCTCAAATAGAGCAGCCTTACAGGACAGCCTACCACTTCCAGCCTCCCAAAAACTGGATGAATGGTACATCTTCTTCACTCTTCTCAATTCCCAACTCCATTTTTTTACTCGTCTTTCTCTGTTTTTCTCTACAAAATTTATACATTTTGTTCAGATTTTCTTCTCACAATCTCTTTTCCTGTCATGAATATGCTTGTGTCGGTGAAAATGGCTTTATGGGTGTTGATAAACATGCAGATCCTAATGGTATGTTGTAGATTCATTTTATACTTCCTTCTTTGTTAGCTAGATTCATGTTTCTATTGTTACCATAAAAATCTAATTTAGTCTATAGATGAACCTTCTGTGTTTTCACCAGAAATACAAACCCATACTTGTCATGAAAATCTAATTAGGGGTTTATGGTTTAACCAAATAATTTTGTTTATAATTTGCTTGGAAATAACCAAGATGAGATTGACTCTCTCTTTCTTTTATCTACCGGTCTCTCGAAACCTTGACCTAGGACTTTTAGAGTTAAGCCCTAAAGCCACTAGGGCGAAGGTAGAAGAGTCCTCCTGTCTTTTCCCCCCTTGAAATTTGAATTTGGGGTTCGTTTAGACGAAGCCACAGCAATTTCTTAAGACAATTTTAGTGAGACATTTTTTATGCATTTTGATTTGATATGGATGATTCATCCATCACAGGACCAATGTACTACAAAGGAGTTTACCATCTGTTCTATCAATACAATCCATATGGTGCATTATGGGGTAACATTGTATGGGGACATTCAATATCATATGATCTCATCAATTGGGTTCATCTTGATCATGCTATTTATCCATCTGACCCTTTTGACATCAATGGCTGCTGGTCTGGCTCTGTCACAATCCTTCCCGGGGACAAACCAGCCATTCTTTACACCGGAGCAGACACTAAGAAAAATCAAGTTCAGAACTTGGCAGTGCCCAAGAATCTATCTGACCCTCTTCTAAGAGAATGGGTAAAATCAAATCAAAATCCCTTAATGACTCCTATTGATGGCATTGATCCGAACTTCTTCAGAGATCCAACAACTGCTTGGCAAGGGCCTGACAGAAAATGGCGCGTTATCATTGGAAGCCAGATAAATGGTCATGGAACTGCACTACTATATCAAAGTCTAGATTTTGTTACTTGGACTAGGAGTCAGAAGCCTCTCCATTCTTCGAATAAAACTATAATGTGGGAATGTCCGGATTTCTACCCGGTTAATATTCATGGCAAGAATGGAGTTGATACATCAATGCAAGGGGGAGCTACGGCTACCAAGCATGTGCTTAAGGCAAGCTTCAATTCGAGTGACTACTACGTAGTGGGAAACTATGAGCCCAAAACAGATCAGTATCTGGTTGTCACCGACTTCATGGATGGTACTCAGCCGCCATTGAGATATGATTATGGGAAATTTTATGCTTCCAAGACATTTTATGATTCCGCGAAACAGAGGAGGATATTGTGGGGATGGATAAATGAGTCTGATCGTGAATCAGATGATATCAAGAAAGGATGGTCAGGGCTTCAGGTAATCCAGGGTTCAATCTTTGTGCTCAACTTCTATCTGCTGACATGAATTCTTGCAAACACATGAAAATAAATTCTTTGCATTACTTTCTTACCTTTGTCAAATAAGGCTTTCTGTTTTTGGGATTAATTGGCTCAATAGCAAATACACTTGATAGTATTCAACAATTGTTTTTAGCCAAGTATGGTCACTTCTAGCAGAAGGGATGATATGTTTTCTTTTTTGCAGTCAATTCCTAGAAGTATTTGGCTTGGTAAAAATGGGAGGCAATTAGTACAATGGCCGATCAAAGAAATCGAAAAACTACATGGAAAACAAGTGAATATCCATAACAAAGAGCTTGAGGGTGGCTCTGTGTTTGAAGTTGTGGGAATTACAGCTTCACAGGTGACTAATTTAACCCACTTATCAACTAGTCTCATGCCTTCAGATCAGTTTTATGTTTCTTAATTGATGATTATTTCCTTTGAAGGCGGACGTGGAAGTCTCATTTGATTTGCCAAATCTTCAAGAGGCCGAGTTCATGGACCTGAATTTGGCTAATCCCCAGCTCCTCTGTAGCCAAAAAACTGCATACAACAAAGGGGTTATCGGGCCATTTGGTTTGCTGGCTCTCGCCTCAAATGACTTAACAGAACAAACTGCAATCTTCTTTAGGATATTTAAAAGCCAAGGAAAATATGCTGTGCTCATGTGTAGTGATCAAAGCAGGTTAGTTTCTAACCCTTGGCACTTTTCAAGTCATTCAATTGCTATGATTATTGATTTGGAATCAATGTTTTCGACCAGGTCTTCTTTGATACCAGATCTTGACAAAACCACCTATGGAGCTTTTGTCGATTTAGACCCTCTTCGTGAGAAGATTTCACTAAGAAGCTTGGTATGTTGCTCTCAAGATTTCACTAAGAAGTTCTTTAATGAAGGACATTTTATATTGCTCAATACCCCTGCTTGAATGAAAATCAAATTTTTTAAAATGGTTTCCTATCAAAACCTAAATAATGGAACTATCACGAGATTGTAATGTGTGGGTTTTGGATAATAATTCATAGACCATTCACATAATTTCAATTGATGCTTTTGAACTTTTAAATTTACTGGGAAAATGCATGACAAATGCTACTTTAGAACTTCCTTACCATCTTCTTACTGTCTTAAATTTTTTGTTGGTATTTTTCCTCTTTTGATTGATGTATTTGGAATTGGTTTTAAATCTCTTTACAGATTGATCATTCAATAGTTGAGAGCTTTGGTGGAGAAGGGAGGACTTGCATCACAGCTAGGGTTTATCCCAGTTTGGCTATTGGTGAAGAAGCTCACCTTTATGTATTTAACAATGGAAGTCAGAGTGTTAAAATCTTAAGCCTTAGTGGTTGGAGCATGAAGAAAGCTCAAATTGTTCCTATTCAGAAAAGAAGGAAGCCACCAATCAATTAAGAAGAACATAACTTCAAGAATTGGTCGCTGAAAATTGGCAGATTTCTTTGTAAACTCAAACATTGGCACACCATACTTAGAGAGTAGAGCACTCTACCAACTGAGTCTCTGGTTATGTCCAAAATTATAGAGTTCTACAGTGAATCAATTTATAACCTATTTTTAAATATAGACAAGATAATCAATCCGTTTTTTAATCTCCCCAAACTTGATACAAGTTCATAACGGACACACCCTTAATATTTAGACTAGAAATCATAAGGTATAATATTTAGACTACAAATCATAAGATAAGATAGCAGCCATTGGGATCTTAAAAATAAATAAATAAATAAATAAGAAAGATTTTTACATATAAATGGTGTTAATTGCCTATATTTATTATTTGATGGAGTTAAGTATCATAGTTTTAAAAAAATGAAGTTGACCAAAATACTGATGTGGATATGAAAAAATATTGTTCACTCTCACAGAGGTGTCACTTTTAGGCACATAATACCATTTTTTGTATGCGCGGTTATCACTTTTTATGCATCAGGTACCACTTTTGTTTTTGGCATAGAGGTACAATTTTTATTGACGTAAATACTACTTTTTGTGCATCAAGTACCATTTTCTTGTGCAGCACAAAAAGTGGTACCTAATGTACCTAAATGTTGTACCTGTGTGAGGGTAAACAGTATTTTTTTATGATTTTATTTTTTTGGAATTATGAAACTTTAACCCCATCAAATGATAAATATGGATCATTAACTCCATTTATATGTAATAATCCCTGAAAAAAAAAAAAAAAAATGCTGCTCATTGACAAAGTTTAATACAGTAGATTTATTTAAGACTAGAAATCATGAGATGCCCCATGAATGACTAGTTGATTACTCTGCATAAATGAAAAGGAGCATCTTTATCTTTGCAAATTAAAGACCATCTTTATCTTTACATTTTTATCTAATCTTAATGGGGTGATTATCTTGTTTTTAGCATCAGCCATACTTTGATTAATTAAATAAGGAGGCCTAATGCAAAAAACTAGGCAATAAAGTAGTGGCTTGGATTAATCATTCACCATCCATGCGCCATGTTAATTAATTTGAGTGCTTTTCAGGATTAATTTAACAAATTCAATTGCTTCTCTTTCCAGAACTCCAAATTATAACAATTTTAGTCGATCTTTACATATTAGTTGTACATTCTTTGACCGTTTAAGCTTGCTTTTTAAGTAAATAGTATTTGTTAATGGGTGATAGCTTAAACTCTTAAACAAAATTCTAATACTCCATGGAAAAAGTTATTATTAGAGAATTTAAATATTGAAGTTACATCTTCTCTAAGAGTTTAAGCTTCTATCCATTTTAAACTCTTAAATAATTTAATGCTTATGAAAAAAAAATGAAATTCTTAATCCACCAATTAAAATCAAGTATAGATTTGAAAGAGGAAAAGAATATGTATACATGGTATAAAGTACTTAATAGAGGTATGTAGAACTTTAGACCAAAGCTATAGAAAGAATATAAACTGACCATTATAGTTAAGGAATCTGGGAGTGGGCTACTTAATTGGGTTGCCAAATTCTAATTTTAACCACTACATGCTGTTTTGCATGATTACATTGTTGAATGTGTTCTAGTAAGCTATCTTTTTGGAATATTGAAAAAAAAAATGACTAGGATATTCTTCTTTCGAAGGTAAGACCATAAAGATTCTAGGTGGGGCCTACAATTTTTGAATCAAAGCTTTACGTGCCTGCCACGTGTGATTCCGCACACACTCTTTGGAGTAGATAGTTGTTGCTGTTGTCATCACTGAGCTAGTTGTCCTCTCCAAAACTAAAGGAAATAAAAGCATTGACATGAAGTGAAGTGGGGCTCAATCTCCTAATCCCATAATGGCCTTTCCCATCCCCATCTTCTTTTTTGTGTTTTTTTTTGGTAAGCGTCCCATCTAATCTTTACTTTACCATGTGCTTGGCATAAAGTTACCATACACAACTTTTTACACATCAAACAATCTAATATTTATAATTTCAATGGATTTTGAAATATTTTTCTCATTATGCAAATTTTATATTTATAGTTTTTTCTTTTTTTTCTTTTCCCACATTCTTGACTTTCTAATTAAATATTAAAAAGTCTTAGATATCACACAAAACTGTTTTATGTTGATAAAATAAAATCAAAATGTTGTACAAAAATTCAACAACTCGATTATAAAAAAATTTTGTGTTTTTCGAGAATAGTCTCTCATAATTATTTTAAAATAATTTTTTATTTTCTAAATTCTTAATAACTATATTTTTGAGTGACAAACTAAACAGATTTATATTTTTTTAAACAAGTTTCTCAACATTTTTGTTAGGAAGAAGAAAATATATATTTTGTCAAGTGTTTTTCAATTTTTTACTATTATCTATTTTTATCATGCGTATGTTCATCAATTTTTGAATTTCTTAATTGAATTGGTGGAAAATATAGCACCACCGCTTACAGAACTCCAATTTTTTAGTTGAATTGGTGGAAAAAATGACACCACCACTCACAGAACTCGAGCCACAAGAATTCTGAATCTACCATACTTTGTTACACGACAATAAACAACTTTAAAAACACCATAAATTTGTAATGCATTCAACGTGTATGGTTTTAGTAAAACAATAGTAATAGTAATAATAATAAATAATAAAGTACACAATAATTATGAGAAAAATAAAAAATAAAAAATAAAGTACACAATTCCCTTGGTGGGGGTGGGTCACATGTATGAAATTTTAGTAGGTTTAGTAAATCAAATAAAGTGGAGTAATAAGGCATATCCCTTTAATACTTTAATTTGAATGACATCACCGAGAAACAAAATTGAATCCTAAAAACTTCAGCTTCATGAAACTTTTCAACTTTATGAAATTTATAAAATATGTATATAATATTTCAATGACCATTGAACTAATGTAAAATACTAAAATGTAATTTTAAACGTGACAACACTAAATTTATAATTATTTAATATTGAGATATTGATCAATATATAGATGGATTTAGAGAACATTAAATTCAAAAATTAAATTATCGAAACCAAAATTCAATAAAAAATACTATTAGCAACTACAAGATTAATCTTTATTTACCTAAGTTTGATAAATAAATAAAAATTGATCCTAAGGAGTCAAATTTTGAAGGAAACTTAAATTGCATGATATGATCATAACCATTCACAAAGTGGAACCCACTTATCAAATCTACAGATTTAACGGCTCTGATCACTTGATAAGTGATACATTTTCAATTACAAAGAAAAAAATAAAAAAAAAAAAGGTTCACACTAATCTACAATTCACATCTGTTCATAGTATAGTACTACAAACTTACCAGGCCCAGAAATAAAAAGTAGTAGTTTATATATATATTATTATTTTCTTTTTCTTTTTCTTTTTCTTTTCTAATATTTGCCTGAATTACAATAATAACCCAAATTGACATCTAATTACTAAAAAATATCATACCGAAGAGCACCAACTTCTACGAGCTTGGGGACAAGGTGGCCACTGAGGTGGAGAGCCATGAGGCTCTCCAATCCGCCGACACGTGTTCCGCCGATGAACACCGCCGGTGCCCTGTCGCCGGAGGCGGAATTGCTATTGTGAGCGGCGAGCGCCCCTAACTCGCCCTCCTCCAATTCGATGACGGTGGGGTGGACCCCCAAGGTGGACAGCAAGCGCCTCATGACGAGGCACATGCAGCAGGATGAACGGCTGAAGATGATCACAGGGTTCTCGGATATCAGCCGTGGGATCCTCATCTCAGCTGACTCGGTCACGTCCATCGACAGCGGACAGTTCGTGGCTGGAGCTAGTTCTAGGCGGATGCCTCCATCGGATAATTGACTATGGACGCCTTGCATCGCCGATTATATATATAATTATATATAGAGAGAGAGAGAGAGCGAGAGAGAGAGTGAGAGAGAGAGGCTTTGTCAACGGAGGAGTATGGATCGTAGCGTGGGGTTTTATAAGTGGGAAGGAGGTGTGATTTGATGCACCGTGAAGTAACATATTACGTAGGATCTGATACCACAACTACTTCGTATTAAACTAGTACTATTCCTTGTACAATGCCACGTTATCAAATTCACTTTTTTTTTTCTCTCAATCTTTTTAAATCTGATTTTTAAAATTCTTTTTGACAGAAAATACTTTAATTCTCCAATTATTTTGATTACATTGTATCATGAATTAATTAAATATTGACACATGACACAACCCACTAAATAAATATATATTTTTTATGTAACATAATATGATTAAGGGTAAAATGTAAAAAACCTACTTGAATTATGTTTGAATTTGTAAATAACTCCTTTAATTAAACTATCTCATTTTGTTACAACATACCGCAAAGATTATACTATATTTCATTAAATGACCATAATACTCTTTCTTATTAAATTACATTTAATATATTTTTCTTATCTAAATAAATTAAGAAAAAAATCATACTAATTTGATGAGATATTTTTCATTAAATTTGCATAAATTTACCTTTAAATTTTTTAATTAAATATTTAAATTAAAAATTTTAGCATAATTTTTAAAAAAAATAATTAATTTTTAAATTTTTAATGAATATATTATATGAAAAGAAGGTAATTTTTTCAAAAGTATTTTATTAATTTTTTATCAATATATTGTATGAGAAAATAATATTTTTTTACGATAAAAATGTTTAAATTGGTTATAGTACGTTTTATTATAAATAATAATATTTTAATAATAAGTTAATCAATTTAAAAAATAGTAGTTACAGATCTATTTATTTATTTATTTTTATGACAAATTGATACTAAAAATAAAAATAAGGTAAATAATATAATTAATATTTACATAAGAGAAAAGATAATAAAAATAATTAAATAAAAAATAAAAATTTTATTGAGGAAGGGTAAAATAGTATTTTGTGATGAATTTGTCCTTAATTACAATAAATCAATAAATTTTAGTTTTGGATAGTTATTTGCAAAAGAACAATAGTTTATGAGATTTTTTGCCCTTAACCCTAATTATTTTTAAACAAGCTCTTTATGCTCTTTATTTCCTATTTTATTTTGCCACCAAACCAAATCTATCATTTTCGTTCTCATTGGTTTTCACTACTTTTAGCAATTCAATTCTAATATTTTTAGAACCTTAGGAACTTGTTTAGTTCTGATTCATTTTAAATTGGATCAAACGGAATCCTTTTGCCGCACCCCTAATTGTATTTGTAGATAAAATATCTCTTTTAAAATCTTATTTTCGCACTTGAGTTTGACATATGTTAAAATATAGTCCTTTAATTGTTAAAATTCTTCCAAAGGATGTGCTATAAATGTTTCAATATATAAACAAACCTTGTAATAGTTTTTCTTAATCTCTTAATCAGTTATGGGCCTGTATTATATAGTAGTACATTTTCTTTTCTTGAATTATATATTTATAAAATTTTAATATTGTTCTCGCTGAATGTATTCATTTTATTTATTGAAGTAAATACTTTTTGGGTGGCCATAGAAATGATCTGTGTCTAAACAATTTACATTTTCAGAATTCATAGCATATTAATTAATTTTATCTAGTGTTTTTAAAGATCTTATCCACATCTCTCTCTAAAATCAATCAGTTTTACTAGAGCTTTGAACTAATAGATTTGTCTATTTTATTTTTTAATTTCTCTCTCAATTAAAATGTTCAGTCATTGGGATTTTGTGGTGGACTGTTGGATATGGAGTAACATTGAAGGTTTTGATGGTAAATCGGTGACAGTGTTAGATCCTGTGATGTTGAAAAGCTTAACGTCGTTTGTTGAGAGAAGTCAATTCTTGAAATATATAAAAATGGAAGAAATAGGCTGATCAAGAGAGCTTTATCTATAAATACTCTAATTTCATTACATAAAAATAGTCTAATATTAAATTACAGTACTAAATTAGGAACGAGAGTGAATAGCGTGTATATATATATATAATTATATACAGGCACAGCCACTGTGTGTGACTTTAACTATAGAGGCGCGTGAAATTGTTTTGTCCCTTAACGTAATATCGTAGTATATATATATAATTATATACAGGCACAGCCACTGTGTGTGACTTTAACTATAGAGGCGCGTGAAATTGTTATGTCCCTTAACGTAATATCGTAGGCGGAATACAAGGGATAATTGCCTGCTCCTGTCATTGCCCAATCACATGGGGTGTCTCTTATTAATGACTATGACGTCAGGTCACTCCAACGTGGAATTGTCGGGATTTGAATGCTGATGAATGCGAAATGGAAGCTCTCAGCTGACGTGTATCAAACATTATTTATGGACACGTGGCCATTTCTTTTCCACTTCCTTCGGAAGACATGTAAGACGGAAGGGAAAAGGTATTTGGGGAAGAAATTTTTAGATGATTCTAGATTTATTGGTCTAATTAATTATCATTAAATATGTAAGTAAAAATTTAAAAAAATTTACACATTTTCGATAGGGTTAAGTATATTTTTTTATGCGGGATGCTAACCACATTTTTATATATTTTTTTTCTTGATAATTAATTATTTTTTATATGCTAACTTTTTCTTGGGTCTCTCGTTATGTATTATTATAATAGTTTTTTACTTTTAGAAAAAAACTGAGAAATCATTCGCAGGAATTTTCTCTCAAAAATTCATATTTAAATGTTGGAAGTTCAAATCTGAATTTTTTTTCAAATCTGTATTCTTAAAAAAAATAAATAAATAATTAGGTAAAAAAAATTACTATAATCTGATTATGTCTCTAAAATTTTCTTTACTCGAAGTTCAATTTTGATATTTAAATCTAATTTTTTCAGATCCCTAATCTCTATTTCAAAATATTCGGTCGTTTTTCAAGTGAAAAAAAATAATAATAAAAATCAGATGAAAAAAGTATAATTTGGTTTTCTTGTATCAGTCCTTTTCTCTCTCTTAAAAAAACTAACTTTCAGCTTCGTTTCTCTTCGGATCTAATTTTTTCTAATCCATAGTCTTTGTATTCCAAGAATAGCTCTGGTTTTTTAGATTAAAAAAAAATATAGATGAAAATTCATGTATCCCTTCTTTTTCTTTTGGTTATGGTCTCTCTAATCAAACTCTATTGTGTTGCCCAATTTCAGCAGTGTTTTGCTTAAGAACTACGTTGCCACAATTGATTTCCATTAAAAGCTTTGACTAAAACTTGATAATCACAACACCTTTTGGTTGTAAATTATTAATTTTTTCTTATTTCTTTTTAACGAGTTCATACTTCAAAATGCAAGTAACAGATTCTCTCAATATACCATGGAAAATGATGCAAAAATATGGATGGTTTTCCTTTTTTGGGAAGAGGGTAGGAGGACAATAGGGTAATTACAGAAAATGAGACCCATTAAAAATCTGAAACCCTCCCCCCCCTCCCTCCTTTTTTTTTTTTTTTTTAACATCTCATTTACCTTCCAAAGTGAATGGTAAAAGCGGTGAAAAAAAAAATAGTATTGTTATTAATGATGAGTTCCGAATAAAATGTAATAATTCTCCGTTACAAACAATTTGTCTTAGCGAGACCAATGGCCCCAAGACCATCTAAAAATTTCTGGATGGAAAGTAAGGAAAATTTTAACCAGGTATCTCAATAATGTGCCCATTGTAATTGTTTTAACATACTAATTTTAAGGATAAATAAGTTTCGTCAATACACATTGATTTTCTTCTTGTTTATCAAATTTCATAGATCCTTCAGTCAAATTGTTTATCAGATTTGTATATTGTTTATATACAAATCTCAATAGAAGTAAGTATAATTTGGTAAATAAGAAAGAAAGTTCATGTATATTGATGAAACCTCATAGGAAGTCGAAAAATCTTTAGACATTTATTTCATTTATTGAGTAGTCTCTAACCCCTTTTTTTGTTTGTCTCATTTAAAAACAATTTAAATTCTTCATTCTGATCCAGTTATTGAGACAACTCAAACCGCGTTTCTTTGTTCTGGGGATCTTTTATCTTTGTTTTGACTCATTAGGTTTAGACATTACTTTGGCGATCCTTAATCCTTTCAAAATGGCAGCAACATACCCTTTTTGTGATTAATTTTTATCAAAGAATCATATAAACAGTGGATTCCCACCCGATACACCTTGGATTAAAAGAGTTTTATCAATTCCAACAATTTTTCCTTTTTGGGCGGAAACTTGCTCATAATATATATATTACGGAGTATTTTATTGTGATAAACATGTATTTAAAGAATATAATTGGAATTTGAATGTTATAAAGTTGCTGACATTTTTCGTTGACGATTAATGAAGGGGAGGTATTTTTTTGTTTATACACAAATCTAAGTATAATTTGATAAATAAGAAAGAAGGTTAATGTATATTGATGAAATCTCATAAGAGGTCAGTGTAATTTATTGTTAATTTTATTTTTCAATGCTTTAAATATAGTTAAAAGTAGATAGATTTAATCCGAGAAATAAATAAATAAATGCATTGAAAAAACTTACAGCTAGGCGAAGTACAATATTTGCAGTTTGATAATTTTTGCAAACATGGGGCCACGTGTTTGAGCTTTCGAACTTAAGTTCAAATTTGAGAATTCAAATTCATTTGGAACGAATATGGACAAAATTTATTCTAACCCAAAGTATAAGTCTATTCATAAGCTTTATAGACTTTTAATTCCAATTGTGATACATATATTAAGGACAGGTTTGAAGTATATGTTTTATGAAAAAAAAAAAAGAAAAAAAAGAAAAAAAAAAAAGCATATGTTTTACTTTTTGGTGGCATCATATTACTGGTTTTGCAACATCCTCTAATATATTATTACAATTATAGAACATTTCTTTTATAGACATAGTTCCAATATTATGCTAAAGCACGTTTCTTTTTGGTTGAAAATTTCTTTAATAGAATATTATATTACTCAAATAATTTGTTCAACTTTTTAAAAATGAAATATATGGATATATAATGAAAAAAGGAATACAATTATTTATGTAACAATTTTATATCATTTATGTGGCAATTACATAACATTAATTATGTAATAATAAATATTTTTTATGAAATGCTATATTATAATGTAATGTGTTACATTAGCAATTTACATATGTCACATAATAAAGGTACAAAATTACCTCCTATTAGAGAATGTATTAGGTATTCTAAGTGTACTGAATATTCAGAGTTATCCATTCTCGCACATATTGTGAACCAATAATTTTGATATTTTTTATGCACTGGACACACTGAGTACCATTATCGTTGTGTGAAATGATCTATTACGCCGCCCAACCAATTCCCACTCCCACATTTGTAGGCTTTGGAGATAAAATGCATGGCCCACTACCTTTTATTTGGCTCTAAATTGGAACCACCACCAATAGAAATTCAGCGTATGGTTTTCGACTGCAATCATAAGTAATTATCCATGGTGGAGTGTGACTCCCATCATCGTGGATTAAAGTTAGTAATGCATTTCGGTGGACCGTTCGTGGTGTTAGATATTGAGTTCCACGAGAGGAATAGTGTTCAACAGAGTATTGATCAAACTTATTTGTAAAACAAGGCGGCTCTGATTTGACACTCAGAAAATAAAAAATTATTTTGAAAGATTATGTTTGTTTAAAATATATATATATTTTTAAATGATATATATAGTTAAAAATAAGGACTTAATTTAATACTCCCTATAACAATTATTTTTTTTATTTGTAGATAGTGTAATTGAAAAAAAAAAATTACTGGATTATGTTTGTGTGCTAGCACTGGTGGTCATCGTGCAAAAGTTCATGTGGAATAATCATAGTTGAACACTCGGAGAGTTGATCAGTTGACAAGTATGATGATAATAAAATTTTTAAATATGTCATTAATTGAGAAACTTTTATTCCCATTTTTTGAAAATAGTGTAAATTGAAGTATTTGTTTCAACAAGCAGCCACGTGCACATTTGATGTTCCTATCTTGATACGTATGTATGAGTGGAACAGTATGATGATAATAGGGCTCGTCGAGGAGGAGAGGAAGTTAGGAACTCATATGGATTGATAGTAATTTGAATATGAATATGAATGAATACACCATCTAATAAGTGATTATTATTCTCTATAAATAAAGAAAATAGTCTAATGATTAGATACGAACGCTAATTATTGGATATAGATACCTATGCTACTCAATAATTTTTGTTTCCGTTTGATTAATTTTGGAACGTTCAGTACCTTCAACTCGATTTATATTTAATTAAGATAAGAGAATTTGTATAATAACTTTGATAATTAATATCATTGAAGTAAATTTTATTTAATTTTAATAGTTCCAAACATAAAGGGTTTTAATTGCTCAAGCAAATTTTGAAGTAGAATTAATCAGTGAACTCATATATACTACTTAACCAGAGTAACTCACTGCATTATGTGTCACAAATACTGAAATACATATTATTGTGCTTGTTTGAACTTAATAATAAATAATTAATTAATTAATTAAAATATATGGTACAAAGTACAAGCACTTGACTTGTGATCTAAAACATAGCATGGGCACAATGTTTAGGTTGTATGCTTTTATTACTGTTGGCGTAACATACCATGGGGGCCAAGCGGGGTGACGCAAGAAAACGATGGAACGGAGTTACAGTGTGGGACCAACGATGACGTCATAATCTGAATCCATGTCGGTTCTTTAATGCAGTTCCTCTATTATGATGCTTTTCTCAAAAGTTTGGACTTTTAATACATCATAAGCGTCCCACATGGGAACAACAACAATTATGGACCGTACACGCGGCACTGAATCTTAATGTTGCGTCAGCTGGAAGAATTGTGGCATGCCAGTAGACCCCACAGGTCCAACTCCATGAATAGACGACAATTTGGTGAGAGGTTTTTTCTAAACCACAGAAGATAGAGACAATGGCCCATGGGGACGAAGATTAAGAAGAGTCACTACTGCAATTATATGAAGCGAATTGTACACTGTGGCGTCTTAGAACCGCCTTCCATATTTATATTTATATATGTATGTATATTTATATTTATATATGTATGTATAGCTTATTAAGAAGAGTCACTACTGCAATTATATGAAGCGAATTGTACACTGTGGCGTCTTAGAACCGCCTTCCATATATATATGTGTATATATATATATATTTATATTTATATATGTATATATATTTATATTTATATATGTATGTATAGCTTATATATATATATATATATATATATATATATTTATGTTACGTACATTTATTATCCAAATTGTTACCTACATATTGTCTCTTCCATTCCGGCTCTAAAATTACACTAGTATTGTAATTGATACTATGCAGTTTGAGTTAATTATCTATAAAATGAAAAGGCTAAAATTGATATGCGTTTATAATATTTGATACCGTAACATGACACACTAATACTGTAATTGATATAACGAAGCTTGAATTAATTAACTACAAATTAAAAAACAAAAATGAATTTACGACTATAATAATCGATATCATTATGTTACATGACATCGACAATCGTTTGAATTCCTTATAGTGCCACGACAACTAATAGTACACTACCAACTTTGAGTTAATTAAAGACCTTTTTATTAAGGCATGTTTGCTTTGGGGATGTAGTTGGTCATTTGTGACGCATAATAAGTAATGAGGTGGTCACCAGCTTGGTGGAAAGCCATCAACGTGATGTGGAAAGCCTCCCTCCCTCTCACACTCAAATAACTTTCGGTATCGATTGTTAAATTTTTTTCTTGACAAAGCTTAATGATACAGAGAAAACTCTTCACGGCGCTAAATAAGGACGAATTTAAAAATTATTAATAGAGGGTTAATATTAAATAAGAAAAAATTAAGAATCGAAAGATTAAAGAGTTAAAAAATTTTAAAAGAAATAGAATTAGACTTTAGAAGAAGCGAAGGAGTGAGCTCTCTGATTTGTACAAAATTATGAATTCAGGAGTTCTCTGTACTTTGACTTAGTGATTGTTTAGAACTTATTTGTCTTGAACATATTTGGTTGTACTTTTGTTTTAAAATTATGACTTAAATATTGAGTTTGTTTGGATGAGTTAAAATTGAAAAGATAATACTACTACTAATTTTTTCTTTTTTAAAACATGGAACTAAATATTCCTATACTATTATTATTATTTTTTATTTTTTATTTTTTTGTGGGGTTCAAGCCCACCCGAGCCCCCTTTTCAATCCGCCACCGACTAAATTCATTGACAAAATAGAAGCACGTACATTGAATACCCAAACCCATTTCTTTATTTATGGAGGGCGTTTGGATGGTTGAAATTGATGTCACAGCCTCCTTTCTCAAAGTCAACTAACTTATTAAGTACCCTATTTTTAGGCTGTGTGACTTTACTATAATTTTTAAATCTACCAAACAGAGAAAAAGAAAAAAAGAAATAAAAAAAGCTATCATGGAATTTGAACCCTAGCATTTGGTTACCCTAAAATTATACTATAGATATGTTGTTATAAGGAGTCATTTATTTCATATCAGATTCGGATGAAAAAGTGATTGGGTATAAATGAGTGGGTATACGTACCTATCATTTACCGTTAGTATCAGAGTCAGATCCAATTCTTAATTTGGTGCTTGGCCTAAAAGACATTCAGGTGAGCCACCCCGGATAAGCAGGGTGACCCGATCGCAATGAGGGCGTTGCGAGTTCGGGTGGGGGAGAATGTTACAAGGGGTCATTTATCCCACATCGGATCCGAATGGAAAAGTGATTTAAGTATAAATGAGTGGATATGCAATATTACCTAACAGTTTGACCTTTTAGGTAAATAGGCAAACGTCTACCCGTTACATATAGGCACTAGGTTGGAACAACAATAAACACATAGGTCTGGATTCCTATTTCACATGATAATAGCCCATAGGAAATATCTTTTGTTCTCGACAGCAAATGTTCAAAATGAGTGGCTGAAGGAGACCATGGTCCATTGGGCTAGGGTCCAACAATCAGGTATCACCAGTCAAAGTGTCCATGAAAGTCGGATTATGCCTGCCAGCCCATGATTTTTTTTTTTTTTTTTTTTTGGTCCTTTAAATTTAGAGGTTGCATACAAAAGTTACACAATCTCAAATGTATAATTATTTGATGATTCACATATAACAATCTTTTAATGAGGCCCACGACAAAATGTAAAAATCCAAAATAAATAAATAAAGTATTTTTACGAACCAAAGTTGATTTAAGGATTCACATGTACAAATATCAGATTACATGTAAATTAAAAAGGATAAATTAGACTGATCTTTTAACTTTTTCATACTTGTGTTTTGGCTTTGAAAAGTGTTTTTAAATATAAAAAATTATTAATATTCTTATATTATAACAATATATTATATTACATTTTGTATAAGGTAAGAAATATATTATTATTTTATAATAAAAAAAATTACTAAATTTTATTTTAATAAATTTATCAAAAAAAAAAAAAGTGTGAATGTCAATACACACAAAATTTTATGAGAAATTAAAGTAACAAGTCTATCATATATAATTTATCCAATTTTCTAAAAATATTGGTTTAATTTAACCTAATAAAAAATAATCGGATTACAAATTCTAAACGAGACCGAAGAGAACTTTTGAACCGAACCAATTTAATTGGTACTAAACCGGATTAGATCGAATTTGTTTGGCTTGCCTTAGCTGTGATCCAACGACCCAGAGCTCTCCACCTTAGCCTTTTCTCAGCCATCATCACACTTACTGCCTCGAAAGAACGAGAACTTTCTAACTTTCGAAAAAAAAAATAAAGAACGTGAACTTTCTAGAAACTTATAATTGTGTGGAGACAAGAGACCACAGACCACAGACCACAATATCCTGCGCACCCACTAATCTTCAACTGCATAGACAAATTTAAGAAACTTCCAAGAAAAGTACATCAGTACAAAATACCAACTTTCCATTTTCTCCAGAACCTTCTTCTCCACCTCCATATAATCACATCCTCTTTCTCTCTCCTCCAAATCACACACAAACTACACTACCCCCAAAAGCTCTCAAAGAACCAGAGTGATTAACAAGAAGGGAATGGAAAGGTTGAATGTGAAAGAGGAAGAGGTGACAGTGATATCGTGCACTGCAGGTTCATCATCTTCATCATCAACATCACCACAGCCAATGGAGGGGCTTCATGAATTGGGTCCACCTCCATTCCTCACCAAGACCTTCGAAATGGTGGAAGACCCAGCAACCGATTCTGTGGTGTCTTGGAGCAGAGCTCGCAACAGCTTCATTGTTTGGGACTCTCACAAGTTCTCAACCACTATGCTTCCCAGGTACTTCAAGCACAACAATTTTTCGAGCTTCGTTCGACAGCTCAACACATATGTAAGTCTCTCAATTCCACCAAAATGTTAACTTTCAAGTGTTTTTTTGCTTTTAATTGTGTTGAATTTAAATGGGTTGATTTTATTTGTTTTCAAATAGCTCTCTCTGTTTTGGGTTTATCAAAATTTTAGATTTTGATCACTATGTTCACAATGTTATATTAATTTCTTGTCAATTTTAAAATTGAAATTCTGATCCTAGTGAGAGTCAATTGTGATCTACGCATTCTGAGGATTTGCTAGTTGCTGTTAATTTGATGATTTTGAATGTTTGCACGGGTCATAGTATTATGCCGCTCTATTTTTCTTATTTAATTTTTTGAAGATTGATATGACTTGTTGGTTTTTCATACTTCTGTTTTTAGATTGCATTTTTGACCTCTTGATTTCTGAAAAAATTACTAATATAAGAACTTTCCTGGGTGTTCCTAATTTGTAGTTTTTTATGGGCTATGATGTTTCTATTGTTCTGCTATGATCATTTTCAATTTTCTTTAGTTTGGTAGAATCATCTGGATTTTTAGTATTTTCATCCGTCTTACAGTTCTTGAAATTTTTTATTCAACAATAATTCATTTGTGGTTTATTTGTTCAATCCGGTTAATGTCGTGGTTTCACTATTATGAACTATAATTCATTAGGTTAATTTGATGATAATGTCAAGATAAACCTAGAGTTTACACATGATAAATCTTAGTATTTTCATCAATAATTTTGGAAGATCAAGCTTTGTTGTTTGGGATTTATGAAATTTAATGGGACCTTCTTATCCCATTTCATTTAGGGATTTTTTTTTTTTTTTTTTTTATTTATTATTATGTGTTCCTTCAATTACTGTGGTTCTGATGAGGCTAAATATCTGCAACTGAGACAGGGTTTTAAAAAAGTTGATCCTGACCGGTGGGAATTCGCGAACGAAAGGTTTTTAGGAGGGCAAAAGCATCTCTTGAAGACCATCAGGAGGAGAAGGAATGTCTCAAATGGCATTCAACAGCAAGGAGGAGGCCCTTGTGTTGAACAAGGAGGAGGTTCCTGTGTTGAATTAGGCCAATATGGCATGGAAGAAGAGCTTGAAAGACTACAGAGGGACCGAAATATATTAATGGCTGAAATTGTGAAGCTTAGACAACAACAGCAGAATTCAAGAGATCTGGTCACTGCAATGGAGGACAGGATACGAAACACGGAAACGAAGCAACGACAGATGATGAGCTTCCTCGCCAAAGCCTTCAGGAACCCTTCATTTATCAAGCAGTATATTCATAGCAGGGAACAGAAAGGTATCAAGATTGGGCGTAAACGGAGAATAAGTCTAAGCCCCAGTTTGGAGAATCTGCAAGAGGAAGTGGTACCGGTGGATATAGGTACTGACCCAGTGCTGAACTATGCAAGCCAAGAGCGAGACGAGGAAGCAACTATCGCATTAGAGATGGACACATTGTTCTCAAATGCATTATTGGACAAAGAATCAAGTAGTGAATTCGAGGACCTAAATGGGGTGTCCATTCTTGCAACTAGCGGTGCTAACATGGATTACATTACTGAGGCCACTTGGGAGGAGTTACTCAGTGAAGGGCTTATAGCTGGCAATGAAGAGGAGGAAGTTTTGGTGGGTGATGAATACGAAGTTGATGTTGAGGTCGAGGACTTGGTTGCAGAAACTCCAGATTGGGCGAAGGGTCTGCAAGATCTTGTTGATCAAATGGGGTATCTCAGGTCAAAAACCTGAAGACTCACTTAGCCAAGATGTAGTGTTTGATGTTGTTCTTTGGTGTGTTAGTTGGTCTCTGCAACTCTAAACCTGTTCCTAATATTGGGCATGGGTCATGAATTAAAACTTATGTTGTCGATGTATTTCAGTGTGCGTGTGTTAAGGCTAATGCAGTATTTGTCTCTCGTATGACAGGGAATACTGAAAGTTGCAAGGAGGCCAAGAAATGCTTCTGATATTCCGTATCCTTTGATTGTATCCTTATTTCTTGATGATGTTTGGTTATCTAGTAATTTGATTTTTATTTATTTTTGTTAAATTTGAGGTCTTTTTACTTGTTTGTGATCATTCTTTTCCTGGTTTCATTTTTCAGGCGGAGTCGCCAGCGGAGTACTCTGTGGAGGGTTCTGAATCCTTGATCCATTTGTGAAGACTCTGTGCTGTTTCTCTTGCCTGTGTATTTTACTTCCTCTCAATATAAATTTCAGCTTCTATACAAGTGCATGAGAGACTTAATATGAGATACTGTGAATATATCAGTATGAAGTTCTTATTTTAGTCCGTTTGATTCATTTCTCTCATTTGTTTGCTTTGAATTTTGTAGCTAAGCTTGTTAGCAAGTGACCAATTGGAGAAAATTTTCTTTGTTCCAGTAGTATGATGTTATCAACAACTTTTATCTTGTCACATAAATAAAAAGCTTATGTTTCAATGGTTTCTATCATCATGTGTAAGTATATTTAGTTAGTGAGTGATATCGTATTATTAGTATTCCCGGTGCATTAAAAGTTTTTCTTTTCCGATCAATGATGTTTTGGCCATAAAACATCCTGACTGGGTATTGCTCTCTTGATTGTTCTCTCTTCAAACTTAAACTAGGTGTCAATGATGTGTTTGATGTGTGTTTCATTTCATTGAGTTGAGAACTAATATTATTTATATTGATTAGGCAAAAAAAGAAAGAAGCTTCATTTGCCATTTTGTCTTGAGTTTATTTTATCAAGCTGTTGGTGTTTAGGTAAGGAGTGTGGCAGCCCAATTCATAGCACGCTCAACAGCTAGATCTCTGCCCAGCACAGCCTATGTCTATAGTAGGTTCTATTACCTTATATAAATTTGTGGAGGAGCATATTAGTGGACATATATGCTTATGTTTGGTTGGACGAAAAAGAAGAGAAGGAGGAAGCATTCCTCGTACTTTATGATTGTAATCCGTCGAGGATAAAAGAGAATAACCTATACAAACATAATACTAATTTTAACTTCTTTTTTTTTTTTTTTCTATTTTAAAAAAGAAAACTTGTTTTTAAAATTTTATATAATAATAGGAATGGCAACTGGGCGAGTGTGAAGCGGATTTTTCTAAATTTCGCCTCTTCCCTTTTAATTTTTGTCAAGTCCATGCCTGTCTCGAGACCCACGACGGGTTGGATTTTCATGTTCAGTTCCGCCCAGTTGAGAAATACTGTGCCCTTATGCCCGCCCCACTAACAAATTTTTTTCTCCCACTTTTTAGAACTTAAGCTCCTTCTATTTAAATGTGGAAAGCCTGGGAATGACACAACATAAATAAAATTATGTATCCCAATAAAAATAAAAAAAAATAACATGCACATAACATAATTCACATAACATAATAAACAAAAATAAAAGTTTAATACAATCAAATAACAAGAAGTTCTAAGCTCCAACTTCCACGATAACCAAAATAAAAGCAAATTTAATACCAAATTTACATCCTAAATTAGGATTGTAAGAGATGGGTAATTAAGTAAACCGCTAAAATAAGTTATTAATATTATATATATATATTATATATTATTATATGCTAAGCGGGACTGGGCGGGGTCCCTACGATATGTATACTGAATGAACCCTTACCCCCCCGGTGACCCGCGACAGATACAAAATTTGTATCCATGTCCGGCCCAACGGTATAAAAAGTGCTCTCATATTCGTTATTAACGGGGCGGTAAAAATTTTTACAAACCTGTGCTATGCGCACTGGCCCCTCAACACGCGCAGCAGTAAATCGAGAGGAATAGATGGCTTGGGAAGAGTCGAACACTGGCCATTTCAAACGTTGCGCCGAGCTCCAACCATCACAGCTACGCCCTCGGGGGCAACGGGGCGGTAAAAATTGACATCCATACATTATAAGGATATATTGGTAAAAATATATAAAAACTCTTATTCATTTCCTCCCAACAAAACAAAAAAACGGGTCACCCCTTCTATCATTTCTATTATTTCTTTTATTCAAACAAATAAAAAGAGAGGGAGACACCATCCTAAGTTGATTGAGAGTACCAAATCAGATTTAAATTTTTTTTTTTTTTTTTTTTTTTTTTTTTTTTGGGGCAAGAGACATACCCATTTGTCCCTATAAAAACTTGAACCCTCACATACTCATTTGCCTCTATGGGAACTTGAACTCTGGGCCACAAGGCCCTTGGTGCTCTGCATATGGCTTGTCGTATGGGCTTGTTATATTGACAATGTTTGTCTAGGGTGGCTTTATATGCCATGGGCTGACTTGTACTTAGACCACCATATTCTTGTGTTAGTCCTGTATCTTGGCCCAAAATTGGGTTTGTATTCCTCCTTTATTCATTATTTTGCAAATTTTTTTGTTTTTTCCTTTGCACGGGTGGAATGGAGAAAATTATAAAATGACAGAATTAGCCCTAATTTCACAAATCCTAACCGTTAACCATCATTCAGCTCTCTTTTCCCTCTCAAAATCTCCTCTCTTCTTTCTCTCTCTAAATTAATCTCAATGTCTCCCCTTCCCTCCTTCCTTTAATCATTGCATAATTAATGGACCCAAAAGGCATATCAGTTCAATCATCCATCCAAGAATTTAAAAAAAATTAAAAAATTTGTTTATTGGTAGAGCATTGAAGACAACGAAAAGCACCAAATAAGTGCTCCTTCGGCCGTGAAAATGAATATGATTACATAATTGAACAAAAATGTTTGACGGCAATACAAGCAATCACATTGCGTCAAACAATTATTGGAGCTCATGCTTTTGAACAACTCCATACCCAATTCGACACGGTCTACGTGGGTGTATGCTGTCCATAGACCAACAAACCCCTATTATATCAAATTTCTTTCATTTTTCTCATAAAGACCAATTGCGTCATCATTTGGAGTACATACCCTACACCGCAAAAAATGCCATATAAACATTTGAATCCATACCGAGACTTCTCTGTTTTTTTTTTCTTTTTTTTCTTTTTTTTTTATATACTTTTTTGCGATCGCCGCCTGATTTTTTTTAATAAATAATATATCCTATTAATTCATTTATTTTGATATATACACCCACAAAATTACACTATCACCCCCACTAAAATTATTATAAAATTACACTATCACCCCCTCTCACACAATTGCTCACAACTCCCTCTCTATGTGGACAAGATTAAAGATTCTAGTTTGTTTACCTATCTCTCTTTAAATTTATTTTAGAAAAAAATACACATAAATCTAATTAGGAGTCTTGAATAACAAATTGGTCTATTTTAGAAGTTATTTTTCACTTTGGTATAATTAAACAAAATAATTACATATGTATGGAGAATCAACTCTTATTTCAAAATATAAAATTATTATTTTTTAAATCAAGTAATTCTTTTACTTAAGAAATTCAGAAAAAATCATTCCTTCACCAAATTATCCTTCTTACACCATAGGTTTCGCCGGAGATAATGAAAAATAAAATTAATGTAGTTGGTTTCAAGTGTAACACTAATTATAACCCAAGTGTAAAATATTAATTTATACATAATGAATCAATGGTAAATTAAAAATGATTACATAACCGATTAATCGTTTTCCATTCTTCTATTTTTTTTTTTTTCCTATTTTATGTTCGTTCAATCCTCCATCATAGGCTCTCTACCACTTTCAGTTTCAGTATCTATAACTAAAATGCATGCATGTATTATTATTTCCGTGAATAAAATACGTATGTTAAAGATATTAGCATTCAATTAAAGGCGTATATTGTAATTAGGGGTGTCAAATTACGACACGAACGCGACACGAGTTAAAGAGATTTGGGTTTGGCATAAATGGGTTTGGGTCATAAAAGGGTCAACACGATTAACCCGTTTACTTAATCGTGTCGGGTTAGGATTGAGGGGTTCAACCTGTGTAACCTATTTATGACCTATTTAATTCAACATGTTATAATTGTAAATATGACATATACAATATGTTACCTGTTTAAACCCAATTACTATTGATAGTTAAGTTATTTCAACATAAATTTTGTCTGCTTTATGATTTTTCTTTTTATTTTGAATATTTGAGTTAATTAGGACAAATTTTTTCTATTATTTAGTATTTGATTAAATATTAAATGTCTCATTTTGATAAACAGATCATAAACGGGTTAACATGTTTACCTATTTAATAAACGGGTTGGGTTAGTATTGAAGATTTTTGACATGATTATTAAATGAGTTGGGTTTGAATTTACCTATTTAGTATGATACATTTACATCAATATGATACGAACACGAATTGTCACCCCTAATTGTAATGTGCCAAATAATTTTACATTGTATAAGCGACAATTAAATCTCTTTAGAAATAGATGTTGAATAGGCAAAATCATCCAACACTCGAAGTTTTTCTGTCTAAAAGAAGAGGGAAATTTTTTTAAAAAAAGGTAAGGAAGAACGTAAATATTAAAAAAGGAAAAGAAAGAAAGCCGGAAAGATATTATGTGCTTGTCTATTCAACTTGAGTTGGTTTTATGTCACAATATACTAATTAAATTTCATGTTTACTAAATTTTTTGATTGAAAAAATTATTTGATTTAAGAAGGATAATTTGGTAATTTGAAATAAGAGTTTGGAGGGCATTTTGGACTTGTACAATGATTATCAATGCATATTATTTTGTTAAATTTAATCAAAGTGAAAAATAGAATTTAAAAATAAATCAATTTATTATGAGTAGTGATACTCACACGATCAAATATAATTAAATAGAGGGCTCTATTTTCTTTTTTGTTACATAATTGATCAATCAAAAGAATAAATCTAGATTCAATACAAGAATCATTTTTCATTTATTATTTAGGACTCCTAACTTGATGCAAGTGTAGTTTCCCATTTATTTATCATTTCCATAATCAACTAAATTTTTAATGATATGTTGGACTTCTTACCATTGTCTTCAATTGACATCTTGATTTTTGAAAAAAAAAATCTAAAATTAATCATATCAAATTTGTGAGTTTGTAATTTCTATTTTTCTTTTTAAATCATAAATTTTATAAATATACATTATTCTTTTTAGAATTCATTTAATTTGAATTGCTTTATTTTAGCTTGAAAAAAAAAAAAAAAAGGTAATCGAAATGGTACTCCAAGCAATTTTAAACAAAAATATCAATAGACTTTCAAACAAAAAGAATCAAGAAAATTTCCCCCCACATTCCTAAGAAGACAAACACACTTGAAGATTCCTTCACAATGAAAAACAAGAAAATGAGTAGCCGATTAACATAGATTGGACAAATAAAAGGTTCCCAAATTCCAATGTCTTGGATCGAAGAACAATTTTTATAAATATCATGATGCATTGTGGATAAGAACTTCCAAGATACCTTGACCTAATATGAGGTGGAAACTAGGACCATGATGACCAAGCAGATTCTAGCTCATGTGGGCTTTCGTTCATCCTCTCAATTTAGGGTTGTTTCAGAATCAAGTACCTCTCTCCTTTCTACTGTTTCTTGATTGAA